TAAATATAACTTAATTTTAAAAATATATTTCTTATACTTCTTTTAAAATAATTCTTCTTTTTTTTAAAATAATTTTTAAATCAAGTTCTAAATTACTGTTAAACTTTTTGTATTACTTTTAGATACAATATAGAAACATTTGTAATTATTTTCATAACTTTTTTTTAGTTAAAAAATACATAATTTAAACGCAAATAAATGCCTCTTTCAATAAACATTTGAAGGAGTGCTATCAGACGTAAAAATTTCATATGCAATTGATAAATATTTGAATATCAATGCAAATAAATCCTTTCAGAAGTAATGCGATGAGTCAAGCGAGGGCATGATTAATTATGTACTTGAAATTCGTCGAAATATCGGTGATATAATATGTATGTTCATGAACAATAAAGTACGCATTATCTTGATTAAATTTATCGTTATCAAAATTTCAAGGAATAGAGACAAATGTGTTGTGGCTAAAAATAGCCAGTCGATATATTTATTATATTGACTAGAATTTTCTGGCATTTCCGCTATGAAATATATTCACATGAATGCGATTTAATCATGTCTGATATCGTGACATACGATAAATGTAGTATTGTTAGCGATATTGTCAAGGTTCATGCAATAGTTAAGTGGTTAAAAATATATAAACGGTATATATTTGTACAATACAAAATATATTCGTCGTAGAATAAACAAATGAATCGGTTTAAATAAATCAGTAGCAATAAATAAATATTAAGTAGATAGTCTGAAGTGTAGTATAAAAAAAAAATTATAAAAAAAAGATATTAAAGATACTAAAGAAATTCATTTTGTAAAATGACTTTTTGTTTCCAGTTTAATATCATGCGACATTTCGATTACATAAGGAACGCGTATGTAAAGACTCGGTTTATCGCACGGTACAAACGCGAATCCGAAGAAGCGATTCGCAAAGGTGGAAGCCCGTGAAGAGTCGGCGGATTCCGTTCCGAGAAGAACAGAAATGGAAACCGAGACGATTTGCTACCGAGAGGTGTATACGAACACATTTGAGACTCTTCATGAAACGTTTATATGTCGCGACGCCGCGGCGTTCAAACGATGCTTCGAAGAATGCACGAAAGTGCGTGTTAAGTATGTTGTAAAACACACGTTACGAAATGTACGAAAATATTTCTTGAATCCCAACCATCATCGATTTATAACACGAACATTTAACATTTTCCTTCTTCCAGCATTTCTGTCTTTCTTGAAAAGAAGCATATTCTTTAAAAAATATGAGAAACTGTTAAATCGTTCTAGCAAAAATTTTGAAGAAAATTTTATGGGAAAAAACATCAGTTTGTTTAATACTTAACATAATACTACGCATCGAAAATAAAAAAATATGCAATTTTTTAATAATACTTTAATAATATATGCAATAATATATATAATTTCTTAATAATTTATATGTATAATAATAAGAGTTTAAAATAATATATCTTTTACAAATATTAAGGATAAAAAGAAGCAGTAATTTGTCTTGTACTTATTTAACCAGTATGAAAAAAAAAAAATAAAACAAATAAGATCCGTCGATGTCAGCTATTGAATATAGCTTGAAACGAATGGTTTCTTTCGATTCTTTAGAGGATATGGAATTCCTTACGAAATAATGAATAAATATCTTATATATTTTCGTTACGCATGTTTTATCGTAATAAAAATCACTTTACATTAATCAAAATAATCAAACCTATACAAATGTCTACGTTGAATTATCTTTTCTCTTAACTTATTTATCGAAAAATTCCTAGAATTCTCACAATGATTAATACGATTTCTTAGTAAAAAAAAAAAAAAATAATAGCATTAATAATACCTGTTAATCACTTATCCTCTAGAATTCGTCTGTAAAAATACGATATTTTTGTTTCCATTTGCAATCCGTAAATATGAGATTATTCGTGAAATAGAGAACGTTTATTTATTTCGATTGCAATTCCTCCATCTCATCTCTTTCTAAAGATACGCGTTTAATTTGAGATGCAAAAAATGCAACGACGCGACATCGGGTATCGACAACGTTGGTCCTGGACTCGTTCTGTGATTCCGAACGCGAGAAGCCAGCAGTCATCACAACAATCAACAACGATTAGTCATCGTTGCGCGCGCGAAAAGGACCTGACCTGGTCTCGCGTGGCTCGCGCGAGTTCACGTGTACACGCGCACGTGTTGCGGCACTAACTACCGGGGGATCGAACTCGCGGAGAGGTCGATATATCGACGGGCGTGTGACATCGTCCATCCTTTTAGCACGATGATGTCACACTGTCACATATCTCTCCCGCACTCATCGTAACGGATCATGACGTGGCGCCGATCACCCGGCAGATATTATGAGACGCGCGAATCTCGTTTGTAACCCGTGACGCATCCATGATTATATGACGTTAATGTGATAATATGACACAAATGTGACGTTACTATTAGATTATAAAGTGCAGTGGTGCTTGAAAAGATCGATGAAAATTGAAGAATTAAGGAAAAAGAGGATGTCCATCGTAGACATCCATGTAAGAATACAAGATAAGCCACTGCGCTAATGGCTGAATATAATTTAGGGCTAATTTCTGATTGGTAACAAATTTTTAATAACGGATTAGCTTACAGAATTTAGAATCAATTTTTGATTGGTCATCCACTGTATATTCACTATTACCTAATATTCTTATATCATGGTAGATATCGACATGCGGAATAAATTGGGTATCGCAATAGCTAAATGCGCGCCTACTATACAATGAGATATATATA